GATGAAAGGCGTGTGCTACCACCACGGCCCGCCTGGCCCACCTGGCTCTTTTAACCACTACCTGTTACCTCTGCTTTATAGATACTGTCCAGCTTGAGTGACCTTCCCTTCCTGCATCTTCTGAGGCAAATTCTTACACTTTCAAGACTTGCCTCTCGAGCTGCTTGGGGCACATTGGTCATTCCAGTGCTCAGGAGGCAGAGACAGGAGAAGCGAACATTCAAGTGAGTTTCAGACTACCAAAACCAAAGAAAAGCTTGTCTGTGTTTCCTTTCTGATGTCCCCTGGCATCTACTAGACCCAGAGCTGTAGCTAGAGTACACCTTCCTCGATCCATGCTTCAACAGTTAGTTATTGGGCATCCAGCTGTTGTATTCACACCGAGGGGCTGGGGTTTGGAAGCTTCCCTTAAGAGTAACCACATAAATCCACCAAGCAATGTAGAGGGAAAAAAAAGCATCCTGCTTTGGCAGGTCATTTGCCTAATTTAAGCTGGGAATAAAATACCTTCATGATTTCAAAAATAAAATGTTCATTTGCTCATGGCCGCTCAAGCACATAATCCCAGAACCTAATGGGCTAAGGTGGAGTGTGAAGTCAGCCTGGGCCAATTTAGAAAGTTTTAGGCCAGCTTGAACTACATTGCAAAAGCTGCCTCAAATAAATAAATAAATAAAACCAAGCATAGTGATTCAGACTGTAATTCCTGCACCTGAGAGATGGAGATGGTAGGAGTTCATGGCCATCCTGGGCTGCACGGTGAATTTGAAGCCAACTTGGCTACCTGCTTCAAATAAGTAAGTAAGTAAGTAAATAAATAAATAAATAAATAAATAAAGCCAAGGATAGTGACTCAGACCTGTAATTCCTGCACCTGGGAAGGGAGACGCTATGAATTCAAGGTCATCGTGGGCTGCACAGTAAATTTGAAGCCATCTTGGGCTGCCTGAGACCTTGTCTCCAAAAAACTAAGTAGCCATTTACTGGGCAACGAAGCACCATCGGAATTATGGACTCAAAACAGCTGCCAATGCCTGCCCTGGGTTTGCACAAGAATGGGCCTGTGAGCAGTCAGGAGCAGTGGAGGAAAGGTTCAGAGAGCCTCAGCCCTACTCCTGAATTTGCTATTGTTGCTAAAAATCCCTTCCCAGTGAGAGAACTTGGTGGATCCCTACACCTGAGGTCTTAACTACTAAGCACTACTCAGCCAGAGTTCACCCTGGGGGAACCAATGATTTTGTCTTCCTTATAGAGCATAGGGGTTGCTTAAAGGGATGTGAGTGTCCCCCCAAAAGCAATACCTGGAAAGCCTTGACACAGCAGGGGTGAGAGCTTCCTATAGTTTGATAGATGGAACTTCCCCTCACCAACACTCCCCTGGCCTACATACTCCAGCCCCTCCCAGAAGCCAAGTGCAGTTAAGGCAGGATTGTATGCCAAGAGTGGTAGAGAATGGCTAGATTTTCAGGTGACATCTTGTGACCCTAAGTGGGTATAAACAGTCGACAAGCCCAGCTGGGACAACCTTTTGCACGAGGACACAGCTGACTGTCCCAAGATGGTGGTTGTTTGACTTGGAGAACAGTTACAATGACTACTGATGTATTGAAGAAAGGGGGAAAGTCATTGCCCTCAGTTGGGTACCCACCGGTGACCCCTCCAGGCTCTAATAGATAGTTCCAACCTCACACAGATGGCACTGGTTAAACTAAACAAGACACACACGTAGAGCTATGTGATACGCATAGGAAAATGTCAGAATGAAACCCATTATTTTGAAAGTCTTCTGGCCTCTGGTTCTCTTGCTAGTTCAGCAAAGCCTTGAGATTGAGGGACTTTTTAAAACTAGGTTTTCTTCCACGCACGAACTAAGAGACAGAAAGGAATTTATCCAGACCTGATCTCTAGAGCTCTGAGGACAAGCCAGAAGAGAAGAAGGGTTTGGGAGAACCGAACTCAAGCTTCGGACCGGCCTCCCTCCCTTTAGGGAATCTGGCTGTCGTGCATCAGCAGCTTGCATTGCGGTCCAGCCATGTTTTCATTTCTTGTTGGTCTGTCCCAAGAAGTGGGAGTGACTGAGTGCAATAGGAGGACTTGCACCCTGCTACTTCCCACAGTAGTTGTCCTTTTTGACTTCCCCACTACCCATGTACAATGGTTCTCATTTGCCCACGTCCCCACCAACATGTTTATTTTAAACTTGTGGGTTTTTTGTTTGGAATTTGTTTGCTTGTTTGTTTGTTGTTTTTTGTTCTTTTTTTTTATGTAACATCCATCCCCAGGGAATATGAAGTATTATTTCCCTGTGGTTTCCCCAGTGTTTAGCCATGTGCAACATCTTTTCCATTGCTTTCTAGCCATTTTAAACCTTCTTTAAAGAAATGCCTTCTGCATACTTTGCCTACTTCTGTTTTATTTTTTAAATCTATGCATATATGTGTATATGTGCAGGTGGCCAGAAAAAAAGGTGTCAGATCCCCTGGAGCCAAATTTACACAGGTGGCTGTGGGCTGGAATCAAACTCAGGTTCTCTGGAAAAACAACGAGCCCTCTTAATTGCTTAGCCATCTCTGCAACATGAAAGTTTCATTTTAAAGTCTACCTTACATTTCTTTCCGCTGCTTCAGCTTTTGGGATCATATTTAAGAAACCATTGCTTTGTCTAAAGTCATATGCATTTTCTCCTGTTTTCCTTTAAGAGTTTTTCCATTTCAAAGCCTACACTTAGGTTTGAATCTGCCTTTCTGAAGCTATATCCCCGGGGTCTAAAGTAATGCCTAGAGCGTAGAAGGTTTGTGGTAGTGAAATGAATGCGTTCATATCTCCAGTGAATGAACGCACAGACACGTCTTTCTAGTCCTCGTCTGCAGCTAGCTGAGTAAAGGGTTAGAGGGGTAAGGTGCTGGGTGCAGTTGCGGGGCCCTTGCCTAGCTTGTGCGTGGCTCTGGGTTTGACCCGCAACACCATTTGAGAGATGGGCTGACATCTATGTGGGGGTTCCAGTTTGCTTAATGGTACTAATAAGTACTCATGATTCCTTGTCTGCAAATTTCCTTCCTGTTTTCCTTCAGTTTTGTTCCTCTTCTGTTTCTCTGATTAACAGAATGTCACTAGGACTTTGTGTGTGTGTGTGTGTGTGAGAGAGAGAGAGAGAGAGAGAGAGAGAGAGAGAGAGAGAGAGAGAGAGAGAGATTGAAAAGCACACATGCTACACTCAGCCACACATGAGAACTGAGCTAGCCCAGAATGTCACACACAGGTCCAGGCCACAGGACCAGCGGGGTTGTGAGCAAAACTGTCTCGGTACTTTCAGCAATCAGATGGTGGTGATGTCACAGATCCAGTGAGACACATTATGGACAGCCCAGCAGCATACGCCAGTGTCCAGCCCCCAGCATTCCTTAGTTCTGTGCCTGCAGCCTTTGTGGGTGTGCAGGCTGATGTGTGACCTCTGCTTCATCCTCTCTTGGACCTGCCCATTCTCTTCTTCCTCCACTTTGTTCTCCTGACAGGATTTTCTGCCAGGAAAATAGCACTAAGGCCAAAAGCTTGGAGATGTTTCCTAAACAAATATATCTAACCTACCTTGACCAAAAGGCAAATATCTTAGGTATATGATAAAAAAAATTAATGTGAAAATGTTGGTTGGAGCAGGTGATGCACAGCTGTAATCTCAGCACTTGGGAGGCTGAGACAGGAGGATGGCTACTTCCAGGACAGACTGGGGTACATAGTCCTTTATTTTAAGTAAGGGAGAAGACAAAAATGGGGAACTAGAGAGGTGACTCAGCAGTTAAGAGCACTTTCTGCTCTTTCGAAGGACACAGGTTCAGTTCCCAGAAGCTCCCAAGCTCTTCTGATGCCCTCCTCTGGCCTCCTAAAGCACCGGGAATGCACACACACACACACACACACACACACACACACACACACGCACGCACGCACGCACGCATGCACACGAGTAGGCAAATACTCATACACATAAAATAAAAATCAATCTCAAAAAAGAAAAACAAGATGTAATGGCTTACATCTGAAATCCCAGCATCTGGGAAGCTAAGCCAGCAGGATTTACTTGACTTCAAGACAGGCTATGGCTGCATAGAAAGTTCTAGCTAGTCTGAGCCATAGAATAAGACCCGGTCTCAAAAATAAAAACATTCTTCCTGTAATAATTCTTTCCTTGAGTTTCCTTGTGTTCATTAGATAAACTCAGGAAACATGGCAGTGTAGACATTATCAAGCAGACGTTACCTTGAGAGAGAGAGGGCTGATGGTGTTCAGAACCTGCAGTAGGGAACTGTTTGACAGTGGAGACAAAAGGCAAAATGTCCACCGTGAGTCACAGGACTTGCTAGTTCCTTGGACTATTCTTTCAAATCTTTCTGTTTGTTTACTGAGGCATGTTCTGTTGCCGTGGTTGTCTAAAACTCTCTGCGCAGACAAGGCTGGCCTCAAACCTTCAGCCATCCTCCTGCCTCTGCTTCCTGGGTACTGGGAATATAGTCATGTCCAACACCATCTTTTAGTTTAGTCTTGTTTTTGTTTGTTCGGGGGGGGGGGAATCAGTCACAGTCCTATGCAGAGGGAATTACAGAGAACCCTGAGAGGTTCCTGTGTGCTGGACATCCGCATCCATTTTCATCATACCTCAGCAATTGAAGAAGAAACAAAGGAAGAAACGTGATTCGACTGCTCGGAGAACCATAATTTGGATGTGGGTCTCTGCCTCCAGGCCTCCATTCCTTTGTGGGTTTAAGTATCTGCACAGCACCTTTCATGGGAAAATGCCTAATTTCTCTGTCGTCATGAAGGTCCTAATGGGCCTGTGCTTTGGAAGGGTGGATGGGAACTGATCTAGAGTTTCTAGAACACAAGTACCACATCTGAGGCTTGAAACAAATGAGCAAGGATGTAGAGAAATTGCTGCCCACCCTGCCAGTCCGTGGGCGGACCTGGGTCTCGGTGTCCTTGACCCTTTTTTGTTTGCCTTCCTCCAGGAACTGAAGCTTCCTACCTTCCGTGCCCACTCCCCGCTCCTGAAGAGCCGTCGGTTTTTTGTAGACATTCTGACCCTGCTGAGCAGACACTGCCATCTGTGCCCCTCAGCCCGGCACCTGGCCATCTACCTGCTGGACCACTTCATGGACCAGTACAACATCACCACCTCCAAGCAGCTGTATACTGTGGCTGTCTCCTGCCTCCTGCTGGCAAGTACGTAGAAACTTTTCCTTCTGCAGCCAGTTGAGTTGCTGCTAACCCACTACCTATTTCCATGGCCTCTACCTTTTATCCTTTGCTGGGTGGGAACCGTCTCTGTAACTGCCAATATTTCTTGCACCTATAGTGTACCAGAGAAACTAAGGATATTCACAGTTTGATCTTAATGAATCTACATTACAAGACAGTCTTGGTACCTGGTGTTATCAAGGCTCAGAGAGGCTTAGGAACTTGTTTTGGGTTGCCCAGCTAGTATGTGACAGACAGTATTTGAGACTGTAGCTGCTTGATGTCAGGCCTGTGTCCTCAACCTCATGCCTCCTGCCTCTTTCCATGAGGTCTCTAAATGGGCCCTAGCCTCCACTGTTTTCAGAGGTGTCTAGAGATGGAACTGCTCGATTTGGACCTAAGCTGGATCCATGATGTAGTCACCAGGCCTGAGCACATGGCTTGTGCAGGCTCTGCACTTTCCAAGGAGGCTTCACTGAAAACAGCCGAACTCTGGCCATCTGTCCTTCTTGGTGAGGATTACTCTATCACTGTACTTTAGCTTGGATGAGCTCCTGACCAGACAGGTCTACTATGTCACCTTGCCACTTAAAAACCACTCCGTGATAGACCAAGAGCCTCAGTATAATGGCCAGACCGCAGACTCTTTCCCTCTGGATTCATGTCTTTTTCCTTGTCACTCTTTGGATGGCAGCCACACTGGTGAAGCTCTGTCCAATCACAGACCTCTGCCTTCATTGCTTCTTGCTGCATTTGTGATCTTGGGCTACCCACCCCTACTGGAAACCTCCCCCACCTTTCTGAACAGCGGGGGTCACAGACATATAGGCACACAGGATCACGTGCTTAGAATTAACACCCACTAGGAATGGAGAGATGGCCCAGTTGGTAATGTGCTTGCTAGATGTTTGAGTCTCCATACCTACATAAATGCCAGGTGAATGTGTCAACCCCTCTATAATCCCATCACTGGGGAAGTTGGGACGGAGTCTGCAAGGCAAGTTGATTAATTAGACTAGCTGTGGATTTAAGTGACAGATCCTGCTTCAGTAAAGTGGAGAACAATCTAGAAGACATCTAATGTCAACCTCTAGCCTTCATAACACACGCACACATGTACCTATACACATGCAACACTGCACTCAGAGAGTTCCTGAGAAGGAAAAGAGCTTGGCACCCGATGTTCCCTCATAAGAGCATTTGTGGAAACAGCAAAATGAATGAAGTTTAGGAACCCCTCAGAGGAACTGGGGTTCCACTTCCCTGTGCTGGCAGCCCGTAGTGCATAAGAGTGGAATGTTCCTGAAATCCTGGGTTCAAACTAGCCAGTTGCCACTAAGGACATTTCCTTGGGACCCAATATTAATATTTTTACCACTGTAAGTCCCCGTGGCTTAAACACACACACACACACACTCTCTCTCTCTCTTTCAGCCCCCATGGCTTAAGCATATATATACTCATGAGCACACACACACACATGCACACAGCAGTTTTAAATTTTTATTTATTTGTTTGGTTGTTGGTTGACTAGATGGTTGGTTGATTTTTGAGACAGGATCTTGCTGTGTAATCCCAGTGAGTCTGGAAGTCCCTTTATAGATCAGGTTGCCCCCAAACTTTGTGGTCCTCCACAGTGTTATGCTACTGTGCCTGGCAGGAGAGTGACTTTCAAGTTTCCCACACCCTGCCTTATTTTCACCTAGGACCTCTACCCTATTGTAAGCTGTCTCTAATCTAGACCAGCTAGAATTTGCAAGTTATCAGTGGGAGCTAATTTTGCTCAGAGCCCAGCCTTTTGTAGCATCTTATCATCTCAGGAAGAGATGCAGAGGCCTGGGAGATGTCTCCATCAGAGAAGGGCAGCGCAGGCATCGTGTTTCAGGCACACCATGGCCTTTGGCCTGCTGCTTCTGTGATCTGTGGACTGCGTCGAGGCCTGCTGGGGGCAGGAGACTTAAATTTCCTTGGGGCTATGGAGCTCTTCCCCCAGCGTCTGTCTGGGGAGCCAGGATATAAGGCTCACACTGGAGACTCCATTGTGCTTCTGTCGCCATGGTGGAGGAAGAGGGCCTTCCAGATGGAGAGGCAGACGCCCCCACCCACATGTTGATGGGCCTCAGCCAGCCTGGGAAGGCAGAAATGGAGTTTTCAGAACACCTACCATATGTTCCAAGGCTCAAGGAAAGAAAAGTTCCTGGTATGGCCTGAAATCCTAGTCACTCCTCCTCCCTTTTCCTGGGCTCACACTCAGCCACAGGTTAGGTGGGGTGGGTCTCCTTGCCCGGGGAAGCTTGGAGTTCTGCTGATTTGGTGTCAAATTTCTCTGAGATAAGAAAACCTGGCACCCGCTGTCCCCACCTGTGAATTCAAAGAGTTTTGCTTTTTTAAAAGATTTTTAGTGTGTGTGTGTTTATTTATGTGTACATGAGTGCAGATGTCCATGGAGGCTAGAGGGTTGTATGTCCTTGGAACTGGCTTTGTCTACACAGACTTCTGTTGCCTTTCGTGGTCACTTGCAGACCCCACACCCTCCCTGGGAAAACAGTGCTCACTGCTGAGTGGTTTCCTGTGGGCTGGAAGCCCATCCGGCCCCTGGCTGACCACCTCAGGTCTGGAAAGCCATGGAAAGTGGGAGTAGTGGGATGATGGTCTTCTGCCTTTTAGGGTCAAGTTCTGACTCTTGTGGGGGGGTGTGGGTGTGGGTGCGCGCGTGCGCACATACACACATCCCCATTCTATACTATGCCGTGGAGGTCAGAGGGCAGTTCATAGAAGGATCAGTTTTCTCCTTCCATCCTAAGTCCTAGGGATCAAACTCAGGTCAACATGCTTGGCAGCCAGTGCCTTTACCATCTGAGCCATGTCGTCAGCCCCTGACCTTGGTTTTTAACAGGTGAACTGAGTTCTCCGACGGGCTCCAGGTCAGCCTGTCAGTTCCTAGTCCTCCCCAGGAGAAGGGTAGGAGGTAGTCATGTGATCTCTCTATCTGTCCAGAAAGAACTTGTGTCTGGATGGGGTCCTTTCTTAGGCAGGGTCCCTTAGCTCAGAGTGAGCCTGTCACTCGTAGCCTGCACAGGGGTTCATCTCCTCAGTAAAGTCCTTAAAATTACAAGTGCTTTATCAGTTAGAAATGAAATCCACAGAATATAATAAAGTCATTTTTCACCCCACTGAACAGAGGAAACCTCTGGAAGGCTTCCGTATCCTCCTACAATTAATCTAGTGTATTTTTTTGTAGAAATGTTCTGTATCCGTATTGGCATTCAGTCAGCTGATCCTCATTAGTCATTGATTCTACACTTACGGCTTATGCATTTATTTGTCTAACCACACCCTCCACCCCTCCACCCCCGGTGCTGGGGAATTGCACACAAGACCTTGTGTATGCCAGGCAAACACTCTATTGCTGAGCTACACTCCCAGCCCTTCATTTAAAAAAATATACATTAAGCAAAAAATGAATGCTGATGCTTTCATCTATGCACGGGGGCAGAGCCATTGAGACTGTTAATTGCCCTTTTTGTGTATTCCCAGCTGAGATGGAAAGGGGCCGCGCTCTGCCTTTGTTTCATCTCTCCTGTGGTAAACAAGTATTCTTCTGTGTTCCGGTTAGAGCTGTGTTTCCTCACACTCATGAGTGTTATTGGTGGCCCTGCTACATCAGGTGCCCCCAGACCTAGTCTCGAATGGTCATTGTCCTGTTTCCTGTGCTCAGGAAAGCTGTACTGTGCCTCAAGGAGAAGGTACATCTATTACTGGGTCAGACATTGGTTGTGCTTTTTGCCCTGTGTTCAGCATTAATGAATCATCAATACAGCATGTTAAGTGGAAATAAACAATTCAAAGTTATGTACGCTATGTATTGACCGACTGATGAAGTGTGGTTGTCTAAGGTTCATGGGGACCTCACCTCATTTCTTCTGTGTTCCGGTTAGAGCTGTGTTTCCTCACACTCATGAGTGTTATTGGTGGCCCTGCTACATCAGGTGCCCCCAGACCTAGTCTCGAATGGTCATTGTCCTGTTTCCTGTGCTCAGGAAAGCTGTACTGTGCCTCAAGGAGAAGGTACATCTATTACTGGGTCAGACATTGGTTGTGCTTTTTGCCCTGTGTTCAGCATTAATGAATCATCAATACAGCATGTTAAGTGGAAATAAACAATTCAAAGTTATGTACGCTATGTATTGACCGACTGATGAAGTGTGGTTGTCTAAGGTTCATGGGGACCTCACCTCATTTCTTCCCCCTAAAGGCATGAGTCAGTATTCAAGGTGACTTCACAGAATGTGACCATCACACAGAACAAAACTCACCAGGATAAATACACGTGATTGGGGCCTGAGAGATGGCTCAGTGGGTAGAGCACTTTGTAAAAAAACCCCATGACCTGGGCTTGCTTCTCAGGACCCACATAAGGGTGGAAGGGAAAAACTGATTTCAAAGAGCTGTCTTCTGACCCCCACGTGTGCTCACACACAGCAAACAAACAAATGTGCCTAGATGGGTCTTTACACAAAGTACTTTCTTCAGTCTGTCAGGGATGATCTTTGCTCTTTGTCGTCTACAATCCCCCACGTTACCAGCAGCACATATGCAGTGATATCTGCATTGGCGGAACCTGAGATTGCCAGCCCCTTTTCCCAACCCTGCTGTTTACAGCCAGAGAGCCACTGTCTTGTTCCCCGCGTCATTGCATACTTACATTCGTCTGTAAGAGGAAGTCCTGTCCCACAAGTAGACTGTTTTGGCCACAGGGCAAGTGAGAAGCTGGAGACATAGCTTCATGGTACAGTGTTTGCCTACCTCGTTGTGTGAGGCCCAGGTTCAACCTGCAGCACTACCAACACACACACACACACACACACACACACACACACACACACACACACACACACACACAGTGTATGTGCATGTTGCAGAGGACCTGGGTTCAGCTCCCAGAACTGACATGACAGATCATAATTCCAGGGGATCTAATGCCT